GAGTTGTCGCTCGTTGGCATCTTCCGCGTCATTCAGATGCTCCTTCTCCTGCTACTCCTCTTCACGGATTCCGTCAGCAGTCTTTCTTGGAATCCGTTTCAAGAGACAACAGTTTGCGAGCACGCACCCGACGGTGCAGAAGCTGAACGTCCTCCTGTCCAAGTTGCTGGTGCTGCAGTCCCTCCTTTCCAAGTGGTGGACTCAGCACCTTTCCGAGAAATGATGGCTTGTGCCGCGCCGCGGTGGAGAGTGCCAAGCCGTCATTTCTTCGCCAAAAAGGCAGTGCCCAGCCCTGCATTCACATGTAGAAATGAGATGGTGGGCCAGTCTTTGAGCATGTCGGTCTCTGCCAAAGTGCACGGCAGCGCCGACGTGTGGAGCTGTATAACTACGGTCAGGGACAGTACATGTCATTTACGGCCCACTGGGTGAACGTGGTGCCGGCACAGCCGCACCAGCAACTTGGACAGGTCACGCCGCTTTTGCCTCCACGTTTGCACGTCCTTGGTCCAGCAAAGATGTCCGCCTCTACCACCCTCTTCTTCCGCCGTGTCCTCAGCCGCCACCCCCCGTGCCAAGTCCCATTACCCGACCGGCATATCACATGTGCAGGGCGCAACGGTGTCACGCTGTGCTGCACCTGGTATGCCTTGGCGAACGTAGTCACACAGGGGGAGGAACTTCTGAGTGTAATGAACAGAGAAATCGACAGATGGCTGTCTCCGCGCAAACTGAAAATCGGAACCATGTTGACCGACAACGGAAAAAGAACATGGTTTGTCTGCTTGCGTCAAGGAAGGTTGTGCCATGCGCCATGCATTGGCTCACGTGTTCAATCTGGTTGTCAAGCGGTTCCTAAAATCCACCATCCCACTGCAAGACATCCTTAAAATGTCACGTAAACTTTGCATGCATTTCAGCCATTCCTACACCGCAAAGCACACCCTCCTTGAGCTGCAGCGGCAGAACGGAAATTCCACAGCATCGCCTGATCTGCGACGTTGCAACAAGGTGGAATTCAACCCTACACATGTTAGACCGCCTTTACGAACAGCGAAAGGCCATCACCGATTTCCTGATGTTACAAGCGGATAAAGGTACTCCCCCCTGTGTAACTTAGATGTCAGCCATTGGCAGCTCATGCGTGACACCTGCCACTTGCTCAGGCCCTTTGAGGAGGCCACGCTATTCGTGAGTCGGCAGGACTATGGGATGAACGACGTCATTTCCTCTGTTGCACGTCCTGGAACAAAATGCTGTTAACAATGGCTGGTCAGGGTGCGGTAGACGTGGCGCACAGATCTCAACGCCACATGACCCCTGTGGGGGCAGGACAGGAAGAAGAGGGAGGAGGTAGAGGAGGACATTGGTGCTCTCAGGAATTATTGAGTGAAATGGGTGGTTTTTCCACTCAGCGGACAGGAGTGGAGGAGCAGGAGCATCTGGTAGAGGAGGAGGAGGAGACAGACAGAGGACCCAGACGCACCGTGGGCAGTATGCTGTGGAGATGGAGGCAGGGAGTCCCTCGCATTCCTTGGCACAAAATGGCCCATAGCATGCTCGGTTGCTTGCGTTAGCGACAGCCGAATAATAACCATCAGAAGACAGAGGGATGACTTTTGGCTGTCCACCTTGTTGGACCCTCGCTACCGTTCAAAAAATGGTGGCCTTTTTCACACCTGCTGAGAGGGAGGCCAAAAAAAATAACGTACTATATAAAAACCACCTATGTAGTCAGTTGGTCTCTGCCTTTCTGCGCCAACGTCCATCCTCAGACACTGTGGGCCCTGTGCGCTCGCGTTCCGCTGGCCCCATGGCAGCAGGGGAGGGGTGGGGGTGGTAGGAGCAGTGGCAGCTCCACCAGCAGCGGCTGCCTCAGTCTGCAGTCGATGATGAGTAGCTTTCTTCACCAGCGCAGTGAGGAAACTACTAACCAGCCAGCCGCAGCAGCAGCAGCATCAGGTGGACCTGGAGCAGGACCTCAAAACAACAGGCTTGGGCCTACTTGGACAGCACCCTGCAACCGAGGTAGACAATCCCCTTGACTACTGGGCAACGAAACTTGACCTTTGGCCCCAAACTAGCTGAATTTGCCCTTGAAAGGCTGTCATGCCCGGCCAGTAGCGTGGCATCGGAGCGCGTGTTGTTTAGTGCGGCAGGAGGTATTGTAACTCCGCGGAGGACACGACTGTCCACCCAAAGTGTGGAGAGAGACTCACGTTTGTGAAAAATGAATCAGGCGTGGATTAGTCTGGATTTCAAACCACCAGTTCTGACACAACTGACTAAATCCGCCATGAATCATGCCCCAAACATGTGCCACTTTCAGGTCTCCTCACACTGCTGGTGGGTTCCATTTTGTCATAGGGTGCTGGCAGATTTCGGGCCTCCATTGCTGCTGCCCAGGCCCGTAATCTGCCATGGGCCCCCGTACCGCCTCCTCATGCTGCTGCCAGGGTCCAGAGTCCTCATGGGTCCCTGTACGGCCTCCCATTGCTGCTGTCTCCATCGCCACACTCTGCCATGTGCCACTTTCAGGTCTCCTCACACTGCTGGTGTGTTCCATTTTTTCATAGGGTGCTGGCAGAGATTACGGGCTCCCCCATTGCTGCTGCCAGGCCCGTAATCTGCCATGGGCCCCCGTACCGCCTCCTCATGCTGCTGCCAGGTCCAGAGTGTCTCATGGGTCCCTGTACGGCCTCCCATTGCTGCTGTCTCCATCGCCACACTCTGCCATGTGCCCACTTTCAGGTCTCCTCACACTGCTGGTGTGTTCCATTTTGTCATAGGGTGCTGGCAGATTTCGGGCCTCCCATTGCTGCTGCCAGGCCCGTAATCTGCCATGGGCCCCCGTACCGCCTCCTCCATTGCTGCTGCCAGGTCCAGAGTCTCTCATGGGTCCCTGTACGGCCTCCCATTGCTGCTGTCTCCATCGCCACACTCTGCCATGTGCCACTTTCAGGTCTCCTCACACTGCTGGTGTGTTCCATTTTGTCATAGGGTGCTGGCAGATTACGGGCCTCCCATTGCTGCTGCCAGGCCCGTAATCTGCCATGGGCCCCTGTACCGCCTCCTCATGCTGCTGCCAGGTCCAGAGTCTCTCATGGGTCCCTGTACGGCCTCCCATTGCTGCTGTCTCCATCGCCACACTCTGCCATGTGCCACTTTCAGGTCTCCTCACACTGCTGGTGTGTTCCATTTTGTCATAGGGTGCTGGCAGATTACGGGCCTCCCATTGCTGCTGCCAGGCCCGTAATCTGCCATGGGCCCCCGTACCACCCTCCTCATGCTGCTGCCAGGTCCACAGTGTCTCATGGGTCCCTGTACGGCCTCTCCATTGCTGATGCTGCTGTCTCCATCGCCACACTCTGCCATGTGCCACTTTCAGGTCTCCTCACACTGCTGGTGTTCATTTTTGTTCCATTTTGTCATAGGGTGCTGGCAGATTTCGGGCCTCCCATTGCTGCTGCCAGGCCCGTAATCTGCCATGGGCCCCCGTACCGCCTCCTCATGCTGCTGGCCAGGTCCAGAGTCTCTCATGGGTCCCTGTATGGCCTCCCATTGCTGCTGTCTCCATCGCCACACTCTGCCATGTGCCACTTTCAGGTCTCCTCACACTGCTGGTGTGTTCCATTTTGTCATAGGGTGCTGGCAGATTACGGGCCTCCCATTGCTGCTGCCAGGCCCGTAATCTGCTTCCATGTGGGCACCCTGTACCGCCTCCTCATGCTGCTGCCAGGTCCACAGTGTCTGTCATGGGTCCCTGTACGGCCTCCCATTGCTGCTGTCTCCATCGCCACACACTCTGGCCATGTGCCACTTTCAGGTCTCCTCACACTGCTGGTGTGTTCCATTTTGTCATAGGGTGCTGGCAGATTACGGGCCCTCCCATTTGCTGCTGCCAGGCCCGTAATCTGCCATGGGCCCCCGTACCACCTCCTCATGCTGCTGCCAGGTCCAGAGTGTCTCATGGGTCCCTGTACGGCCTCCCATTGCTGCTGTCTCCATCGCCACACTCTGCCATGTGCCACTTTCAGGTCTCCTCACACTGCTGGTGTGTGTTCCATTTTGTCATAGGGTGCTGGCAGATTACGGGCCTCCCATTGCTGCTGCCCAGGCCCCTGTAATCTGCCATGGGCCCCCGTACCGCCCTCCTCATGCTGCTGCTGCCAGGTCCAGATGTCTCTCATGGGTCCCCTGTACGGCCTCCCATTGCTGCTGTCTCCATCGCCCACACTCTGCCATGTGCCACTTTCAGGTCTCCTCACACTGCTGGTGTTGTGTTCCATTTTTGTCATAGGGTGCTGCAGATTACGGGCCTCCCATTGCTGCTGCCAGGCCCCTAATCTGCCATGGGCCCCTGTACCGCCTCCTCCTCATGCTGCGCTGCCAGGTCCACAGTGTCTCATGGGTCCCTGTACGGCCTCCCATTGCTGCTGTCTCCATCGCCACACTCTGCCATGTGCCACTTTCAGGTCTCCTCACACTGCTGTGTGTTTCCATTTTGTCATAGGGTGCTGGCAGATTACGGGCCTCCCATTGCTGCTGCCAGGCCCGTAATCTGCCATGGGCCCCTGTACCACGCCTCCTCATGCTGCTGCCAGGTCCAGAGTGTCTCATGGGTCCCTGTACGGCCTCCCATTGCTGCTGTCTCCATCGCCACACTCTGCCATGTGCCACTTTCAGGTCTCCTCACACTGCTGGTGTGTTCCATTTTTTGTCATAGGGTGCTGGCAGATTACGGGCCCCTCCCATTGCTGCTGCCAGGCCCCAAATCTGCCATGGGCCCCTGTACCTCCTCCTCATGCTGCTGCCAGGTCCAGAGTCTCTCATGGGTCCCTGTACGGCCTCCCATTGCTGCTGCTGTCTCCCATCGCCACACTCTGCCATGTGCCACTTTCAGGTCTCCTCACACTGCTGGTGTGTTCCATTTTTTGTCATAGGGTGCTGGCAGATTACGGGGGCCTCCCATTGCTGCTGCCAGGCCCGCCTAATCTGCCATGGGCCCCTGTACCGCCTCCTCATGCTGCTGCCAGGTCCAGAGTCTCTCATGGGTCCCTGTACGGCCTCCCATTGCTGCTGTCTCCATCGCCACACTCTGCCATGTGCCACTTTCAGGTCTCCTCACACTGCTGGTGTGTTCCATTTTGTCATAGGGTGCTGGCAGATTACGGGCCTCCCATGCTGCTGCCAGGCTGTAATCTGCCATGGGCCCCTGTACCTCCTCCTCATGCTGCTGCCAGGTCCAGAGTGTGTCTCATGGGTCCCTGTACGGCCTCCCATTGCTGCTGTCTCCATCGCCACACTCTGCCATGTGCCACTTTCAGGTCTCCTCACACACTGCTGGTGTGTTCCATTTTTTTGTCATAGGGTGCTGGCAGATTTCGGGCCTCCCATTGCTGCTGCCAGGCCCGTAATCTGCCATGGGCCCCCGTACCGCCTCCTCATGCTGCTGCCAGGTCCAGAGTCTCTCATGGGTCCCTGTACGGCCTCCCATTGCTGCTGTCTCCATCGCCACACTCTGCCATGTGCCACTTTCAGGTCTCCTCACACTGCTGGTGTGTTCCATTTTTTGTCATAGGGTGCTGGCAGATTACGGGCCTCCCATTGCTGCTGCCAGGCCCGTAATCTGCCATGGGCCCCCCTGTACCGCCTCCTCATGCTGCTGCCAGGTCCAGAGTCTCTCATGGGTCCCTGTACGGCCTCCCATTGCTGCTGTCTCCATCGCCACACTCTGCCATGTGCCACTTTCAGGTCTCCTCACACTGCTGGTGTGTTCCATTTTTGTCATAGGGTGCTGGCAGATTACGGGCCTCCCATTGCTGCTGCCAGGCCCCGTAATCTGCCATGGGCCCCCTGTACCGCTCCTCATGCTGCTGCCAGGTCCCAGAGTCTCTCATGGGTCCCTGTACGGCCTCCCATTGCTGCTGTCTCCATCGCCACACTCTGCCATGTGCCACTTTCAGGTCTCCTCACACTGCTGGTGTGTTCCATTTTGTCATAGGGTGCTGGCAGATTACGGGCCTCCCATTGCTGCTGCCAGGCCCGTAATCTGCCATGGGCCCCTGTACCGCCTCCTCCTGCATGCTGCTGCCAGGTCCACAGTGTCTCATGGGTCCCTGTACGGCCTCCCATTGCTGCTGTCTCCATCGCCACACTCTGCCATGTGCCACTTTCAGGTCTCCTCACACTGCTGGTGTGTTCCATTTTTTGTCATAGGGTGCTGGCAGATTTCGGGCCTCCCATTGCTGCTGCCAGGCCCGTAAATCTGCCATGGGCCCCCGTACCGCCTCCTCTCATGCTGCTGCCAGGTCCAGAGTCTCTCATGGGTCCCTGTACGGCCTCCCATTGCTGCTGTCTCCATCGCCACACTCTGCCATGTGCCACTTTCAGGTCTCCTCACACTGCTGGTGTGTTCCATTTTTTGTCATAGGGTGCTGGCAGATTACGGGCCTCCCATTGCTGCTGCCAGGCCCGTAATCTGCCATGGGCCCCTGTACCGCCTCCTCATGCTGCTGCCAGGTCCACAGTGTCTAATGGGTCCCTGTACGGCCTCCCATTGCTGCTGTCTCCATCGCCACACTCTGCCATGTGCCACTTTCAGGTCTCCTCACACTGCTGGTGTGTTCCATTTTGTCATAGGGTGCTGGCAGATTACGGGCCTCCCATTGCTGCTGCCAGGCGTAATCTGCCATGGGCCCCTGTACCGCCTCCTCTTGCTGCTGCCAGGTCCACAGTGTCTCATGGGTCCCTGTACGGGTCCTCCCATTGCTGCTGTCTCCATCGCCACACTCTGCCATGTGCCACTTTCAGGTCTACTCCTCACACTACTGCTGTGTGTGTTCCATTTTGTCATAGGGTGCTGGCAGATTTCAGGCCTCCCCATTGCTGCTGCCAGGCCCGTAATCTGCCATGGGCCCCTGTACCGCCTCCTCATGCTGCTGCCAGGTCCACAGTGTCTCATGGGTCCCTGTACGGCCTCCCATTGCTGCTGTCTCCATCGCCACACTCTGCCATGTGCCACTTTCAGGTCTCCTCACACTGCTGGTGTGTTCCATTTTTGTCATAGGGTGCTGGCAGATTACGGGCCTCCCATTGCTGCTGCCAGGCCCGTAATCTGCCATGGGCCCCCGTACTGACTCCTCATGCTGTGACGTTGCAACAAGGTGGAATTCAACCCTACATATGTTAGACCACCTTTACGAACAGCGAAAGGCCATCACCGATTTCCTGATGTTACAAGCGGAATAAAGGTACTCCCCTGTGTAACTTAGATGTCAGCCATTGGCAGCTCATGCGTGACACCTGCCGCTTGCTCAGCCCCCTTTGAGGAGGCCACGCTATTCGTGAGTCGGCAGGACTATGGGATGAACGACGTCATTCCTCTGTTGCACGTTCCTGGAACAAATGCTGTTAACAATGGCTGGTCAGGATGCGGTAGACGTGGCGCACAGTTCTCAACGCCACATGACCCCTGTGGAGGGCAGGACAGGTAGAAGAGGAGGAGGGTAGAGGAGGACATTGGTGCTCAGGAATTATTGAGTGAAATGGGTGGTTTTTTCCACTCAGCGGACAGGAGTGGAGGAGCAGGAGCATCTGGTAGAGGAGGAGGAGGAGGAGGAGACAGAGGACCCAGACGCACCGTGGCAGTATGCTGTGGAGATGGAGGCAGGGAGTCCCTTGCATTCCTTGGCACACAAATGGCTCATAGCATGCTCGGTTGCTTGCGTAAGTAGCGACAGCAGAATAATAACCATCAGACAGAGGGATGACTTTTGGCTGTCCACCTTGTTGGACCCTCGCTACCGTTCAAAAATGGTGGCCTTTTTCACACCTGCTGAGAGGGAGGCCAAAATAAAGTACTATAAAAACCACCTATGTAGTCAGTTGGTCTCTGCCTTTTCTGCGCCAACGTCCATCCTCAGACACTGTGGGCCCCTGTGCGCTCGCGTTCCGCTGCCATGGCAGCAGGGGAGGGGTGGGGTGGTAGGAGGCAGCAGTGGCAGCTCCACCAGCAGCGGCTGCCTCAGTCTGCAGTCGATGATGAGTAGCTTTCTTCACCAGCGCAGTGAGGAAACTACTAACCAGCCGCAGCAGCAGCAGCATCATCAGGTGGACCTGGAGCAGGACCTCAAACAACAGGCTTGGGCCTACTTGGACAGCACCCTGCCAACCGAGGTAGACAATCTCCTGACTACTGGGCAACGAAACTTGACCTTTGGCCCCAACTAGCTGAATTTGCCCTTGAAAGGCTCCCATGCCCCGGCCAGTAGCGTGGGCATCGGAGCGCGTTTTAGTGCGGCAGGAGGTATGTAACTCCGCGCGGAGGACACGACTGTCCATCACACCCAAAGTGTGGAGAGACTCACGTTTGTGAAAATGAATCAGGCGTGTGGATTAGTTCTGGATTCAAACCACCAGTTCCTGACACAACTGACTAAATCCGCCATGAATCATGCCCCAAACATGTGCCACTTTCAGGTCTCCTCACACTGCTGGTGGGTTCCATTTTGTCATAGGGTGCTGGCAGATTACGGGCCTCCCATTGCTGCTGCCAGGCCCGTAATCTGCCATGGGCCCCTGTACCGCCTCCTCATGCTGCTGCCAGGCCCGTAATCTGTCTTGGGTCCCTGTACGGCCTCCATTGCTGCTGTCTCCATCGCCACACTCTGCCATGTGCCACTTTCAGGTCTCCTCACACTGCTGGTGTGTTCCATTTTGTCATAGGGTGCTGGCAGATTACGGGCCTCCCATTGCTGCTGCCAGGCCCTGTAATCTGCCATGGGCCCCTGTACCGCCTCCTCATGCTGCTGCCAGGTACAGAGTGTGTCATGGGTCCCTGTACGGCCTCCCATTGCTGCTGTCTCCATCGCCACACTCTGCCATGTGCCACTTTCAGGTCTCCTCACACTGCTGGTGGGTTCCATTTTGTCATAGGGTGCTGTATGGCCTCCCATTGCTGCTGCCTCCACCGCCACACACTGTGGCTCCACACTCTGGTTTTGGCCCCGTGACTGCCCAAAGTGGTGAAGTGTGCGGTGTGATTCTAAGATCGACGGCACTCATCTGCATGTCATACTGACTGACAGTATTATTTCTCTTTCCCAGCAGACTCCAAGGACATTTTAAATTAAAGGTACAGTGTTCTGCACTAATATAAAGGCTCTCTGAAGCCTAGAAACACCCTTTTATAAGTTAAATTCGCAGCGAATATATTCACCTCGAATCGAATTTATTCCTCGAATTCGCCGAATCAGCCGAATCGAATTTTTGAATACTTCGCTCATCTCTATTTATATGATATGAATTAATTAAATAGAAAAGCATAAATAGAACAGTTGGGATGCTAACAGACCAAAGGTTGATATTGAATATTAACATACAAACAGCGTGCCTGTTCTGTGATTTACAGGCATGATTACATTGCAAATCTTCTTATTACTTAGATTCCCATGACTTTAAAAGAAATCTCTTGCCATTTCCATAAATTTATCAAAATGACATAAATAAATTAAAAGTGATGAATGTTGTCATAAAAATGCATAATGTGCATCCTCAGTATATTTAAAAACATGTATAGTAACCTGCGTTACAATGGTTACAAATAAGCACGAGAAAATGTATGTGTGTGTGTGTGTACTTAGGTTGAAAAAAAGATACAAATCCATTCAGTTCAAACGAAAAAAAAAAAAAACACACAAAAACAAATAAATTAATAGAGTGAATAAACTGAAAACCACCTTATAACGAGAGTCCTATACCCACAGTTGATCCAGAGGAATGCAAAATAAATTCCTTTAGGGGAAAATAAATTCCTTCTTGATCCCTCAGAAGGCAGTCAGATATCCCCTGGATGAACAATCACTGGTGTTATTACCTATAATTGTTAATATTTAGTTATGTCTGTTCGTTTTCTAAGTGTATAGATTTTACCTAACACATTAGTATACTATATCCTCAGCCACTTCTAAGTTTTTATTTACTTCCTCATAAAAAATCAGATTTGTTTAGAAGATTAAGTCTTTCACAAATCCATGCTGTCTATTGCTTAAAATACTTTTTTCTAGCAAAAACTCTTATGTGTGGTCTTTTGTTGAATTTCAAGTATCTTCCCAACTATATACAGTCAGGTCCATAAATATTGGGACATCGACACAATTCTAACATTTTTGGCTCTATACACCACCACAATGGATTTGAAATGAAAAGAACAAGATGTGCTTTAACTGCAGACTGTCAGCTTTAATTTGAAGATATTTACATCCAAATCAGGTGAACGGTGTAGGAATTACAACAGTTTGCATATGTGCCTCCCACTTGTTAAGAGACCAAAAGTAATGGGACAATTGGCTTCTCAGCTGTTCCATGGCCAGGTGTGTGTTATTCCTTCATTATCCCAATTACAATGAGCAGATAAAAGGGCAAAGTTCATTTCAAGTGTGCCATTTGCATTTGGAATCTGTTGCTGTCAACTCTCAAGATGAGATCCAAAGAGCTGTCACTATCAGTGAAGCAAGCCATCATTAGGCTGAAAAAACAAAACAAACCCATCAGAGAGATAGAAAAAACATTAGGCGTGGCCAAAACAACTGTTTGGAACATTCTCAAAAAGAAGGAACGCACCGGTGAGCTCAGCAACACCAAAAGACCCGGAAGAACACGGAAAACAAAAACTGTGGTGGATGACCGAAGAATTCCTTCCCTGGTGAAGAAAACACCCTTCACAACAGTTGGCCAGACCAAGAACACTCTCCAGGAGGTAGGTGTATGTGAGTCAAAGTCAACAATCAAGAGAAGACTTCACCAGAGTGAATACAGAGGGTTCGCCACAAGATGTAAACCATTGGTGAGCCTCAAAAACAGGAAGGCCAGATTAGAGTTTGCCAAACGACATCTAAAAAAAGCCTTCACAGTTCTTGAACAACATCCTATGGACAGATGAGACCAACATCAACTTGTACCAGAGTGATGGGAAGAGAAGAGTATGGAGAAGGAAAGGAACTGCTCATGATCCTAAGCATACCACCTCATCAGTGAAGCATGGTGGTGGTAGTGTCATGGCGTGGGCATGTATGGCTGCCAATGGAACTGGTTCTCTTGTATTTATTGATTATGTGACTGCTGACAAAAGCAGCAGGATGAATTCTGAAGTGTTCGGGCAATATTATCTGCTCCTATTCAGCCAAATGCTTCAGAGCTCATTGGACGCCACTTCACAGTGCAGATGGACAATGACCCAAAGCATACTGCAAAAGCAACCAAAGAGTTTTTTAAGGGAAAGAAGTGGAATGTTATGCAATGACCAAGTCAATCACCTGACCTGAATCCGATTGAGCATGCATTTCACTTGCTGAAGACAAAACTGAAGGGAAAATGCCCCAAGAACAAGCAGGAACTGAAGACAGTTGCAGTAGAGGCCTGGCAGAGCATCACCAGGGATGAAACCCAGCGTCTGGTGATGTCTATGCATTCCACACTTCAGGCTGTAATTGACTGCAAAGGATTTGCAAGTATTAAAAAGTGAAAGTTTGATTTATGATTATTATTCTGTCCCATTACTTTTGGTCTCTTAACAAGTGGGAGGCACATATGCAAACTGTTGTAATTCCTACACCGTTCACCTGATTTGGATATAAATGCCCTCAAATTAAAGCTGACAGTCTGCAGTTAAAGCACATCTTGTTTGTTTCATTTCAAATCCATTGTGGTGGTGTATAGAGCCAAAAATGTTAGAATTGTGTCGATGTCCCAATATTTATGGACCTGACTGTAAGGTAAACTAATCAGTCTATAGTTACCAGGTGAAGACTTTGATCCTTTCTTAATGTAGGCACCACATTGACCTTGCACCAATCAAGTGGTATAAAGCCAATATTTAAAGAGTCTCTGAAAACTAGAAACAATGACTTTGAAATTACAGAGTTGTAATCTGTGAGGGCACATAGATGTAAGCCATTTGGTCCAGGTGTTTTATTTATCTTTATTTTGTCTAAATGTTTCTGATCCATATCAATTTAAACCATTGGGGCTTTGTTGGTATTATCTCCACTATGGACTCATTTTCCTTTGTATGCACAGAGCTGAAGAAGTAATTTAATACATGTCACTTCTCTGTCCCCACTCACCAACTTTAAATTATCTTGTAAAGAGCCTGCATGTTCAAACCCAAACTTTTTAATGATTAAAGGATACGTGGGAGGGGCTTAGGCTATGTAAAAGATTAATTGATGATATGTTAGTGATCTGGGAAGGGAGTATGGACTGTAAGAGAATTTTCTGCATGTATAGATGTCAATTCCTATGATTTGGAATTTTCTAAAACGGTGGATAAACAATCGGTGAACTTTTTGGATTTAAACATTTTCTGTAGAGGAAAAAAGAAAGGAAACTGCTATACAAAAGTCTGTTTTAAAACAGTTGCAAGCTGTCATCATTGCCTTTGGATATAAAATTTCCCCAAGGGGCATTTTAATAGTGATGAAGAATTGCTCCATGCGAGAGGATTATATAATACAATCCAAGATCATTAAAAAACGTCTGATTGAGAAGGGTTATGAATCTGAGGAGCTTGAGAAAATATGGGTTGATGTAAGCAAACAATATATTGGGAGAGTAAGGAAAAAGAACTGAGCCCCAAAGGAATAAAGCTGTCAATAATAAGTTGGATTTTGCTCTTATTTTTTACTTTAATTGTCAATATAAAGAGGTAGAGAATATTATTAAAAGGTGCTGGCCCATCATAAGGAAAGATAAAATATTGGGATCTATAGTACCCATATACCCAACAAACTAAAATGTATTTATAGAAAAACCTCTAATTTACAAAACAGATTGGTGAATAATGTCATCTCACCCCAACAGAAAGGTACTAGGCTTTTATCCTTGTAGAACATGTAATGCCTGTAGGACTACCAATATGACAACAAGACATATAGGAGACTTTGATTTGTGTGTGTCATCTAAAAAGTAAACTATAAAGAAATTCATTAAATGCAATACACCCTTTGTTACCTATCTGCTGGAGTGCCCTTGCAAATTTCAGTATGTGGGCCTCACGACTAGGCAATTGCATATTAGATTGAGGGAACATGTTGCCAACATAAAGAAGGGCAAAAAGATCATAGTCTATCTATACATTTTAGGGAAGCCCATAACTGCAATCCATCACTACTTAAATTTAGTGACATAGATACAATTGGAGAACATTGGAGGGGGAACAATCAAACTAGAGAAATTTCGAAAAACAAAACCTTTTGGATTTATGAATTGGAATCCACACAACCTAAGGGGTTGAATGTGGAGCTAGATCTATATTGCTTTATTTTAGATATTATGAAAATTTCATTAGAATATACAGTATGGAGAGCATATGAGAGGACGTTATGCATGATTTATTCATGAGTTATTCTCCATTTGTATTATATTAGTATAAGATTTAGTAATCTATCTCTTTATTACACCATATATGACATACAATTTATTAATGATCATCCTTTTATTGTAATTTTTGAATAATATAGCATGAATTCTCAGGAGCTTGGCACCTGATGGTAATCGGATACTATTCTGTGTTTGGGATATATTTTACTAGAATTATTACACATAAGACTTCTGGCACACAAACAAGATGTATAACTATAGCCAGTCTTAGTATTACCTGTAATCAAGCAATAGTAAAATCCTTCAAATTTACTTTAAGTTATTACAAAGTCCATATAGTTTAATAGGTACTGGTGGCCGCCATCCACATAGTTAGGCCAACTCTGTTTGAATGAGATAAAAGAAGAGAGGTGGAGGGAGCACCACTAAGTGCAGTATTAGTAAAAGCGATTTATTGTTAAAAGATTAAAAACACTCACAAGATATGTGGGTATAGAGGCTCTTCAGTATATAGGTTCACCCACTCCAAAGTCCTGCAGGGTCCCCTGCTGCTGTCCAAGCTTCATGTAGTGCTACAAAGCTCTGGTTATCCATATAATATGGGGTGCACATGTCTACTAGTTTCTGTTCACACATGCAGCTTTCTGCAGCAAACTCTGGGAAGAGTACTTACTAGCTAGACTGATACCCTTTTGTAGGGCAATACCTAGCTGATGATTAGTTACACACCAGTTTCACACTAAACTATCCTATATGCATGTCACTATCTGCATCTTTACA